ATCACCCACGCTGGGGACAGTAAGCGTACCGGCCTCACTAGCCGGAGAAGGGGAAGGAGCCCTCTTCGTCTTCTTAGAGACGCTCACGCCGGCCTCGGTCAACTTTTTCTGGCCGTCAGTGGCCGGTCTCTTTTTCTTGGATGGGGCAGGCTTTGGGGCCGCGTCAGCAGTAGCCCCGCTCCCACCAGCAGCGGCACGGCGGGCCGCTTCGGCCGCCTTAGCAGCAATCTCCTCGGCCGCTTTGGCCTTTGCAATAGCCATCATGGAACGGCGGTCCATGACAAAATCTACAAGGGAAAAGCACAAACAGATTAGTAAGGCAGAGGACAAAACATAAAGACAGAAAGCCGAAGAAAGAATTACCATCGGCCTCAGCAGGAATGCCCAAGTCCGGGCCGTCGGCCTCCTCAAAGGTGGTGGTCATCCTCGGCCAGAGTTGGAGGTCATCCTCCTTGTCACCATAAACATAGTACCTCACGAAGCCGAGGGCGGCCATCTTGTACTCAGTGATGTAATCTTTCACGCTCCTCGGCCCCCCCTCCAGGAAAGCCTCCACCTGAGCGTCCAAAATAGAGCTCTTCGGCGGGTCATGCAGATTAAATCTCCCGGTGTGGCCGAGGGAGGGAAACTCGGTGCCACTCTCACCAATGGACACAAACACGAACTTGCTCTTTCACCCATGAATGGACGTGGGCAAATCCGTGAAGCTCCTCTTCTTCGGCAGCTGCTGAAGAGTCGCGTAGGCCGCACAGTTCTTGTGGCTTCCTCGGCCTATCTGGTACAGATTCATAAATAATGCCGTTGTCGGCTTGTAGCCCAACTCCTCACACCGGAGCAAGAACCCCACCATCAAGGAGTAGCTGTTCGGCGTCAGCAAGGCCGGAGGAAGCCCTACCATGTCCAGGTACTCAGTAATGAAAGGGTGAAGAGGAAACTTCAACCCCTTAGCAAAACTCATCGGGTATACTCCAAAGTATCCCGGTGGTGGAAGAAGAACATGGTCCGTCGGCTTGGGCGCCCTAACCCGCCCGAACGGCCCCACGTACATCTGGGCAACCAGATAGTCGGCCGCACTGCTCTCCGGCTTTATCAGGTAGATGTTGGTGAGATCCAAGTAGGAGACGCCGGGCCCACTCTTCGGCCTCCTCACTCTCTTCGGCTTGGTGGCTCCCTTAACGGCGGACACCGGCCTCGGGCATGGAATGACAGCAGAAGTGGACGCCCCGTCCACCACTCGGGACGCACCTACGTCCTCACCCTTTGAAGAAGAGGCGGACTCCTCATCCTCGCCTTCCTCGTCCATCAGCTCCGCGGATTTGTATGGACTTAAACGCTCTATCTCCTCCTCAAACTCCTCGAGCACCTCGTAGTCAAGCGACCTCGTGGAGGGCTGGTCGTCGTAGGGCTTAAGGAGAACTTACGATCTAAAGGTGTTTAAACGCCTAACACTAGATCAACTACTTACGGAGCAAAATATGAAAAGTGAGGAAGATCGTGATGAACACTAACCTCAAACAACGAAGAACACGAAGAACAGGCTTGGGAGTTTCTCTCTCTAGAAAATCGGCCAGCACTTCGACAAATTCAGAATGCAAATGTGATTCTTCGTCGGAGGGGAAGGGGTATTTATAGACCCCCCCACCAACGGTCACTACACGTGGCACTCCCCCAATGGCCACATCAACGGCCACCACTGGGGGGCCACCACGTCACCAACGGGCCAGGACCAACCCATATCAACGGCCCACCGGCAAATCAGACCCTACAGCCTACACACGCTCAGCGACTTTATAACTGCCAGCAAGCGCCCACAACGTCCCACTTGCTCACCAAGATCACAAATGCCAAACAATAAACGGATGGCAACGGCCAGGAACGTAACGGCCACAGAACAAAGGGCACAAATAGCCCACAGCCTTCGGCTCCCCGTAATAACCCTTGATGATAACTCTCTACAAGCGATCTGCGCACAAGGGTTCTCCCACAGGGTTACCTTGGCCAGAAAATCGCCATGAGAGTTGGATTCAGGGGGACTACGGCGAGACCGCTTCGGCCAGGGACTCAAGCAACTCCTTCACCCCTCACACTCTTCGGCCTGAAGCAGTGGGGGACTGGGGGACTACACCGGCCTCAACAAAACAAAACAGTGCGAACAAGGTAACCACAAAACATGGCCACATCATCCATACAGCACAACGGAACTTCATCGGCCAACAAGCCACTAGAGGCAAGGACACTCATCGTCCTCTGCCAACAGATAATCTTGACGGGCTCTTAGGCCAAAAACACGAAGGCCAACCAGCAACGGCCAAAAGGAGTGCGCAAACACCCTCATCGGCCACACAAAGGAAATGAGGCCATCGTCTTCAAAGCAAGGAACAACCTCAACGGCTACACAGGCCCAAACATGAACTTCAACCACCAACGTCCAGGAAAGGGAAAGCGCGCCTTCAACGTCCACCATTGGAAGAAGGACACTCATCGTCCCGAAACAAATTAAGGAAACGACGGCCTCCCCGCCCACAGCGAGGACAGGTAACGGCCAAAGCACAAAACAGGATCACCAAAGAGGGAACAACGCCAACGCCGCAACGGCTAACGGCCTGGAAATGCCCGCAACAAAACACAGAAATCTACTCTCCTTCACTTCATCTACGTCTCAGCTTAGAGAGTGGGGGACTCCTGATGGAGTATATGGGTCTGAGCCCCAGGACCCACATACTCGGAAGAACAGAGCACAAGACAACAGAATGGCGCCCTCGTCGGCCATGACGCCCCCGTCGGCCGAAAAGGTGCCAACTCAGATTACGGTCCTGAGTCTAAGGGACTCGGGTGCCCTCGTCGGCCACGCCCTCATCGGCCACGCCCTCGTCGGCCAGAAGACCTCCCAGAATCGGATCCTATACTTACTCACTTGTACAGCCCATTAGAGGCTTTGTATTCGGCCCAGTAGCGGTCCAGTTGTAAATGGGCCTCCCAAGCCCAAGGCTTGGGAGCCCAACCCTAATTTTCTCTATAAATACTCCCCTTGGGAGTAGTTATAGGGGTTACAAATTCATTCTATTGAAGCATATTATTGCACTTCTCTCTCTAGCTCTCACTTCTCTCTAGAATTTGGGAGATATACTCTATCAGTGGACATCTCATGCCTTAGTCCCATCCAGCTCCTTATGTGATGCCTTACCCTACAAGTAAAGGGGAAAAGAAAGAAAAGGTGTGGTATTGTTTCCAAACCACCCTTACACAGATCACACCAATTCACGATATAAATATACCTGAGACTATCATGTGTAGGTAGTCGGTTTCTGAGGGCCAGCCATGTATTAAATGAGAGTTTGGGGGGAATGTAGGATTTCCATATGAAACTCATAGGAGTCCTAACTTCACCCTTGAATCTTAGGAGATCGTAAATTTTTGCAGAGGCTAATTTACCATTAGAAGCTCTGGAGGCAAGGCCCATTATAGTGTCATTGAGATTGTTGAAGCAACTCCGGATTTTGTCACGAATAAGACTCAATCGCTTCATGAGTTGTGAGTCCCGGGTGTGTGGAATGAAATACCACACGGTTCTACCTTGAAGGTATACCCCGTCCACCCATTTAACCAAAAGGGTGTCCTTCTTCATATGGACATCCCATAAAGTACGAGAGAGGAGGGCGCGATTCCACACCTTAGCATTATGGATGTCAAGTCCCCCTTCCTCTTTTGGGAGACAAATGTCTTCCCAAGCTACTTTCGCAAATTTACCACCCCATAGGAAGATTCGACAGATTGATACTATCTTATACAAAATAGTTTGGGGAACCGGGAAAACTTGGAGCCAAAACGACTGGACCCCTTGGATCACAGATCGTATTAGTTCTAGTTTACCGTCATAGGAGATCGTCTTTGTGTTCCAAGCGTTTAGAGAATCATTTACCGTATCAAGAAGGGGAGCATATTGTGCCACAGAGATTTTTAGCGGTGCTAGTGGGATTCCAAGGTATCTCACCGGGAATAGGGATGGACTCGGTTCGGGCCGGGCCCGGTTCGGGCCTTGAACCGGCCGGGCCTCGGTTCAAGGTATGGGAGGCCCAGAACTGACCCGGGTAACCCCCAGGTCCGGGCCGGGCCTCGGTTATTTTTTTTTCTTGGGCTTTTCCTAGTTTACCCCCAACCCTCCCCCTCACCCCCAACCCTCCCCCTCACCCCCAAACCAACCCTAACCACCTCAAATCGCACAAAATACCCAGCCCGACCCAAAAACTTAAAAAAAAATAAAAACAAAATGGCCAAGCCCGGGCCCGAACCGGCCGGGCCGGTTCACCTTTTGAAGGGCCCGAGCCCGAACCGAGATCCCACCGGGCCGGGTGGCCCGAACCGGCCAACCAACCGGTTCACCGGGTCGGTCCGGGCCCGCACAGTAGCGGGCCGGTCCGATTCCGGGCCAGTTGGCCCGGCCCGAGTCCACCCCTAACCGGGAATACACCTCGACCATAGTCAACGAGGTCCAATATGTTCTGCAAATCCAAACCATTAACCCCACCAACGAAAATATTGGATTTATTATGGTTAACTCTAAGGCCCGAGATGTCCCCAAACTCTTTAAGAGCATCAACCAATATTCCAATGGAATATTTGTCTCCTCTCGAGAAAAGTAGTGTTGGATTCGGTTCGGGCCACCCGGCCCGTGACCTTGCCCGGCCCGCTACTGTGCGGGCCCGGGACCGGCCCGGTCGGGCGGGCCCGGGACCGGCCCGGTCGGGCGGTCCGGGACCGGGTGTAGACCCGAACCGGAGGGGAGGGGCGGGGCGGGTACGGTTCCTGAAAAAGTTGACCCGGCCCGCCTGGGTCGGGCCCGAGGCCCGGGTCCGGGTCCAACGGTCCAATTTAAAAAAATGTTGGGCCCCAAACTAGCCGTTATGGCCTTGGGGGTGGGCTGGGGACAACCCAAACGGCTATATAGTTGTTGGGTGGGGTGCAGGGGGTCCGGGGGGTGGGGGGTTGGGGGGTGGGGGGGTAAAAAAACCTATAAATACTCCTAATCTTAAACATTTTTTCTTATCTCTTCTCCAATTCTTCCTAAATCCTATTCTTAACTCTCTACTCTCTAATTCTCTTATTCTCCAATATATTATATTTATTATTTATATATCTACTTTATACTTAAGTTAAGATGGAAAATCAAGATGCCATTATACGGTATAATTTTGATAAGCAGAAGGACCCGAAGACCGGGATGTGGTACGCAACTTGCAAATGGGGGTTTCAGGCGGATACGAGATGGCAATGAAGCATATGAAGTCATGTGACAAAACCAAAGGATCGGGAGGTGCGGGAAGTTCCGATTGATTACAATTTTCAAAATGTTTGTCTCTTAAAGTTTTTTTTAATTTTCAAATGTAGTTCCTATATCATTTCAAATAAATGCACTTGAAGTTTGTTTTTAATACTTGTATAAAACTATAAACTATAAAATATAAATTATAAAAAAAAACTTTAACCGGCTCGGCCCGACCCGACGGGTGGCCCGACCCGTGACCCGGGCGGGTGGCCCGGCCCGAACCGGACCCGTCCAACCCTCGGGCCGGTCCCGGGCCCATGTCATACAAACCGGCGGCCCGACCGGGCCTGACCCGGCCCGAGTCCACGCCTAGAGAAAAGCATGAGATCATCCGCATAAGCCAGGTGAAATATTCCCAATGAACCACAGAGCGGGTGGTGATTAAACCTCGAATCCATGCTTTTGATGATAACGAGGCGCGAGAAATATTCAAGGCATACAACGAAGAGCAAAGGGGACATTGGATCCCCTTGCCTAATGCCACGCTTACCTTTAAAGAAACCATGCAATGTACCATTCAAAGAAACAGAAAAAGAAGCAGTAGAAACACACTCCATAATCCATACCACAAATCTATCGGGGTAACCCAAACCCCTAAGCACATTGGCAAGAAAGTCCCACGAGATAGTATCATAGGTCTTTCGCAAATCCACCATTATCATACAACGAGGTGAAATTCGCTTCCTATTGTATCCTCTAACAAGTTCCTGGGGAAGGAAAATGTTATCAAACATTAGGCGGCCATCCACAAATGCACCTTGTGCCTTGTTAATCAAACCCGCAAGGGTCGGGATCATTCCTGCCGCAATAATCTTTGTAATAATCTTGTAGAGCACATTAGTACATGAAATAGGCCTATAATCCGAGACCTTGGGGGAGTGACTAGTTTTAGGAATAAGTGTTATCACAGTATGATTTAACTGTTTAAGCAACCTTCCTGAGTTAAAGAACTCCTTAGTCGACCGGATCACATCCTCCCCCACAATATTCCAATTTTTCTTAAAAAACGCCGAGGAATAACCGTCCGGCCCCGGTGCCTTGTCATCCCCGATATCAAACAAAGCATCTTTAATTTCTTTGCTAGTTATCGGAGATAATAGGCTATCATGAACACTTGGTTCAATCAAGGGGCCGGTTCCTAGTACCGTTTGGTCAATGGAAAAGGTTTCCATCTCGGTGCCAAAAAGATCAACAAAAAATTTTACAAATTCATTTCCAACATGGTCAATAGACGTAGTGAGGTTACCATCATCCATCGTAATGCAGGTTATGGTATTCCTATCCATGTTCCTCTTGACGATTGCGTGGAAGTATCTTGTTCCCTTATCGGCCTCAAGGATATGCGTAGCCTTAGCTCGTTGTTGGAAGAAGCTACGCTCGGCCTCACCAAGGAAAGTAGCCTTTCTCCTCGCGTCTTTTACTTGCTCTTTAAGCTCGGCATCATTGGGTGAATCAAGCATCAACCCGTTCAGCCTTTTAAATTCATCTTTTGCATTTTTTGCCTTCGTAGAGATGTGCCCAAATTCCAATTTATTAAGTTCCTTAAGCTACTGTTTTAGCAACTTAAGTTTCTTAACAATTTGAAATTGAGCCGTGCCATGAATATCTACACTCCAATTCTGCAAAAGTATGTTAGTGAAAGCACAGTGTTGAATCCACATATTAAAAAATTTGAAAGATTTCGGCCTTTGAGAGGAATTATTGAGTATAGAAAGCACGGTAGCCGTGTGATCAAACTCAACCTCCATTTCATCGAAATGGGCCTTACACTTGATTCCCAAATGATCCCACGCATCATTGAGCAAGACCCGATCAAGCTTAGCCCATAAAGTTCCCTTATTCCACGTATAGAATTCTCTCGTGGAGGGGGCATCTTGGAGGCTAGCACGGATTTTAAAATCAAGTAAATCTTTTAACAAATAATCTGAGGGTGTGGTTGGACCCACTCTCTCATTCGGAGAGCAAATACAATTAAAATCTCCTGCAATAAACCAAGGGTCCCTCATTTGGTCCCCGAGCAAAGCTAGGTGCTCCCAGAGTGTCCTGCGCCTCACCACTGTATATAATGAATAAACACAAGTAGCATAAAAAACAGTTTGTGACGTTCGGCAAAGGCATTTAAAGTGCATATATTGCTCCCTCATTTCAATCAACGTGCATGAAATAAAATTAGGGTTCCAAAAAACTAAAATGCGCCCCCCATCAATAAAATCATGATTAGTTTCAAAAAACCATCCGGGCCATTTATTAGAAACATAATTGAAAATATTTATTTTAGTCATTTTCATTTCCAAAAAACAACACAAACTTGCTTGATGAAATTTAACTAAACTAGAAATAGTAGAATGTTTGGAGGGTTTTTTCAAACCTCTCACGTTCCATACTATTGCTTTAAAATTCATCAGAAACCGATTCAGTGGAGGACTAGCCATCCTCCTTATTCGCCGGACTTCTGCTTACTTCCCCTGCTTCAATTCTCCTTGTTTTTCCTTCAAATACCTCTTGTTTTCCCTGGTAGTAACATCAAAGAAAGAGGCTACATAAGTATAAAAGATGCTATTATTAAATTTATACCATTCATAGTGTGGCGTGACCCCGGGCAGCTTGCTCAAGCATTCATCCGTGAAGGAAATGCCAGGTTCATCATCTCGCACCCTTTGTAAGTCCGACCCAAGTCTACTGATTCGATAGTGTGATGGGACCTCACTTTTCTGCATCGTGTATACCGTCTTCTTTTTATTTGCATCATAAACGATTCTAGTGACAACATCCCCTCTTTGGTACTCATACACGTTTGGAATCATTCTCCCTCCCATTTCATCAAAACTAATTTTCCCATCCTTAGGAAAATTAATCTTCTTATCTTTTGCTTTGGACTCGGGATTTGCCTTAGAAGTTTCAGCGTTGGGCTTTTGGACAGTGAGCTTTGGTGCAACCTTAGGTGCTAGAGCAGCAGTTATGGACGCCGCGGCATTGGAGCAATTGGCAGCAGGTGCAGTGGCGTTGGCTCTTGGAACCGCAGCAGCAGGGTTGGCCGCGGCATTGGTGCAGGGGGCAGCAGGTGCAGTGGGCTTGGCCGCGGCATTGGGCTGTGTAGGGGCCTTCGCAACCTACCCTTGGACATTGAGCTTGGGTGTAATTAGATTTCGGACAGTTGCTTTAGAGCCCCTTTTCTTCTTCTTTTTTGCCTCCATCCATTCCCCATCTTTTTGCACCTCGGAGCTCTTCTTCTCAACTCATATCTCTTTCCCTTTTCCCTTACCTTTTTCCTTCTTGCCACTTACATTAATGCCCCTCTTTTCTTTAGGAATGTCTTCGGTTAGCTTAGGTTCCTCCACATTTGAGTTGTTGTTCACATCAATAACATTGGTGACACTCTTTGTAGCAATGGTCTCGGCCTTGGGATCATTAGCCTCCTTTTCTACAAGCTCTTTATTTAGCACTTTGCATGTAAAGGGGTGGTGTCCATAAACCTTGCGCTCAAAGCAATAGTTAGGGAAAGTTTCATATATAACATATTGATTCCTTTCCTTACCGGATGGTTGAATAATCGGAATGGACAAAGTAGGTGGTTTAGTGAGATCAACTTCCACCAACACCCTAGCAAATTGAGATCTTGATTTTTCTTGAGTCACTTTGTCCGCCACAATAGGTACTCCAACTCTAGAAGCAAGCTCACCCATCTCTTGTTTGTTCCAAAGTGTAACCGATAGGCCGGGGAATTTTACCCAAATTGGGACTTTTATAAATTCCTCACCATCAAAGTCAAAGTCCTCGGATAGTATCTTTAGGAACACGGCCTTACCATAAAGGGCATAGGGCCCTTCGGCCATGACTTTGTTACGGTCATTCTCACTTTGAAATTGGAAAATCACCCATCCTTTGTCATGTTGTTTGAGTTTGCATGGGACTCCCCACTTGATGGATAAGTCATGGAAAGCTCTCATCCCCGGGAACCTACCTGAAACAAACCCCACCAAGCAATACCCCCAAATATCAATAATAGTAGGGAGTTTTCTATGAGAGAAACCTACCTTTTCACCTTTGGGAGGGATGTATTCCAACTTCATGCCATGCTCAATAGACCGGTTGTTTTGGAATAGTTGATTCCAAGCATTCATTTTTGGGGCTGCCTTCTTTTCTTTATTTCCAACCTCAAATAGGGAATCAACACTCCCCGTTTCCACATCATCCTCATCTTCCACAAGGCCATCAATTTTTGCATTCTACCCTTCCTTGCTCTTCTTGGATTTGTTTGAAAGAAAACTCAATGGACCCTACTTTGATGGAGTTGGCCGAGGAGGATTTTTCCAAGATATGAGCATTCTCGATAGTTTCCCCATTTTTTGTTGAGCCCGAGGCAGAGTCCTCCACCATTGTTTTAGGGTCCGAGGCAAAGGTCTCCACAATTTGGCCCTCCATAGTATTCATAGCCTCCTGGATAGATGCCCCCTGTGGTGCGGTTACAGTTTGTACCGTTAACTTGGGTGCAATTTTTTGCTTCTTGGGTGTTAATTCTTTTTCTCCATTCTCCAACTCTGTTTTTCTAGCCTCCATCTCAGCTTTCTTTGCATTTAGTCTCCATATTTTGTCATCAAAAGCATTGTCTTTAGGAGGCGGAGTACGAGTTTGTCTATTGTTCTTCATCATTGAACAACAAAAATTTCTTGCACAATAGCTCAACAAGTAGGTATATTCACCTGCAGGTTAGTACCAACAAGTGCCAGAAAAGGAATAGCTAGGAGTTTAATCACTAGCTAGGCTTCTGGGGTTGTTAATTTAAACACAAGCACAATATGGAATGCACAAAATAAGTTTAGCTAGCACAGGGGTTACTTTAACGGACCCAACAAAACAAGTAGCAAACTAATTGGACAAGTAACGGACTCTGTAAAAATTCAAGAGTTTTTTACCTATATAGGACTATATCTACGTTTGTGTGCACAAATAGGACTCAAAACGTGAGTCATGTTTTGTAGGACTAAAATTGAGGTGATTTCCCTTTTTTAGCCTCAATTAGTTAGTCGCCTATTAACGCAAGGCAGTTTTTCGGAAAAAACGGGCCGCATCGTGATCGGAAAGAGTGCGAAAACATAGGGAAACGAGGTGCTGTAATTAATATGGAAGATTTTTCCGGCGCAAGGCACGGCAATCGAGTATCAAACACAACTACCCAAGTTAGTCTACCCAGTTACGCCATTGCAAAATTTCAATTTCGAAGAGGAGAACTGAAGCCAAAAATCTGGAAGAGAAGAAAGAAGGAAGGAGAATAAGTGCGACGATGGCCGGTAAAGATGGCGCAAATCAGACGCCCGGATGACAGAGAGAGCGGCGTAGAGCAGAACTGGTATGTTTAACATTTGAGAATCATAATTAATTTAGGGTTGATATTTAGGACGAATTGAAAGCCAAATGTTCTCATGGCGTGGGACTGAGAAATGGAAGTTTTAATTTGTAGTAGACATTGCCAACAATTTGGAAATTCATAGAATGAAATATGGCAGAATGCAATTTTGGTGTGACGGTATAAATGGCAAATATGTGTGAAACTTTTGTTATTTAAGGCGGAAAATGGCAGAAATGAGAAATTGGATGAATGGATAAAGTGGCAAAGAAAAAATGGCAGAAACGGAATGGAAATCTTGTGTTGGCAAAAAATGAAAACATATAGTAAGCTTAATGGCTAAAAGTGTATGTATATATTGTGAAAAATCTAGTTATGACAATGTTGATGTTTTAGTTGTTTCCAATTGTAATTCTACCACATATGACCACGATGTTTGACAAACGTTTGGGTGTTTGGTGCTGGTTTTTTGTCAATTAGTACATATGTACTACCTTAATGGAAAAATGATGAAATAAAAGGACTATTTGATAGTAGTGGTAAACAAGCAAAGGATTTGTGTGGAATGTTTTGTATTATATTTTTCCAAACATTTGGAAAATAATAGAGAGGAAAATGGTAGAATGGACTGATGTTTGATTAAACATTGATAGTGTATTTAATTGTTTCCAATGGTAATTGTACCACATATGACTCATTGATTGGCTGTATGCACATGATGTTTGTCATAGTACTTCCATATTTAATTGGAAAAATGTATTGTTTTGTGATAATTTAGGTGATGCATAGAAAATTTGGAAGGAATCAACTGCAAAATGTAGAGAGCTTGAGGATAAATTGCTACTGCAGTTTGGCGGAGGTGGTGAAGAGGATAAAGAACCAACTAAAAGAGGAGGAACTCATTGAATTCAGGAAGAGTGTATTCGGATGGGTGTTAGATGTGGAAGAAATGCGTACAATTAGTGGTCAGCTTCAACTGGGATTTCTTTGCAACTACGTTAAAAAAGTAAATGGCATGAAAGAGACAGGTGCCATTCGTTTTCATATTGAAAATAGTCTGATTACTTTAAGGAAAGACGATATTTGCATGGCTCTGGGTCTTAAATTTGGAGGAGTGAAACCAAATATGGAGGATAATTTCAGGGGGACGTTGTGGTGAAAATACTTTGGTAACAAATCCGGGGTGAGAAGGTCTGATTGTCAAAATGCGTTAATGAATTACAATAGCGAGGACCTTGAAGCAGAACGAAATGATCCAGTGAAGCTTGCGTTGCTCCATGTACTGTCACATGGTCTTTTTGGCAACCAGGTAGCAAGAGAATTACCAGCATTGTATGTGAATTTGGTTGATAACTTGGATGGGTTCAATAACTATCCGTGGGGAGACGATGTCTGGACTGAGTTGGTAGATATTATGCGGACCAATTCAAAGAGTTTAAAGAAATGCGCAGGGCAACGAGTCACACTGCCAGGATGTTTGATTGCCATCCAAGTTTGGGCATTTGAAACCTTCACAGGGCTTGAAAAGGCAGAGATATGCAAGTTGATTGAAGGGAGAGAGTCTCGAATACCAAGGGCAGTCAAGAGGGAATTCATTAAAAAACCATCAATGGAGTTGTTGAGCAAAATAATATTCAAGAATGAACAAGTAGTACATCTGACAGAATTGCTCATTAATAGGTTGCAATCTGAATACCAAAGCATTTGCTTTTAAATTTTAATTTTTTGTATTTTTATTGTTTTGTGTGTAGTTTGAGTGGAAAATGATGGAGCCTACAAATCTGGAAGGTGAACATTTCCCTAACTTACTAGCCAATGAAAGGTTGAGTTCTGAGAGGAGTAGCAATGATGGAATTGATATTGTTAATAGAGTTGATGGGGTGAAGGTTTTTGAGAAAAAAGGAAAGAATGTAAAGACCAAAGTTTCATCAAAAGTTGTAAAAAAATCAAAAACCAAAGCAAAGGAAGAAGATATGGAATCTGAGAAGGAGGGGGATGATGGTGGGAGGGTGGGTTTTGGAAGTGCAAGAAAGTTGGACTTGACGTTGAGGAAGGTTAGGAAACTTAGTAAGGAAAATGCCAAGATTATGGCAGAATTAAGGGAATTGAAGAAAAGTCAAAAGAGGCAAGAGAAAATGGTAAAGCAGTTACTGGAAGTCTGGAAGGGATGAATAGAATGACCAAGAATGAGCAAACAGAGACTGAGGAGCTTAGGGTGCAAAGAAAGGAAAAATAAAATACAGAAGAAGGTGATGAAAATGTAGAAGGAGAAAAAAGGAATGATGCAGACCAAACTGCGTGTGCAGAAGATGATGATCCAGAGATCAGTAGCGTGCCCAGTTTTTCTATATTCAGTCCAGAGACACAAGAAAAATTTCAGGAAGTGCAAGTAGAAAATGGAAGTGACCGAATTGTGTTTGAGATGAGGAAAGAACCTGAAAAGCAAGGAACAGTGGAACAAGGACATGAGGACAGTGGTGGACTAGTCAGAAGTGAAGAGAAAGATGGTAATGATTCTTCTCATAGAACAGAAGTTAGCAAAGCTGGGAACATGGAAGAAGAAGGGGGGACCAACAACAACAAAAATCAAGAACAGAATAGCGGTGTGCAAGAAACTGATACTAGAAGGGTGCATATTCAGGAAGAGGTTTGGGAAGATTTGAATACCCAATTTGTAAATGAGTTGATAACAAGCGTGGATATAGTTGAAAAACTTGTATTAGGTGACAAAGTTGCAGAGGAGCATACGCAAAAAGGAGAGGTAAGTAAGACTTTGCTTTGAGTCTTATTTTAGTCATACTTGAAAACATGAAAAAAAACATTAAAATTTAATGATTAAATAATATGAATTGTGAATTACAGAAAACTGCAGACGAGCATTTACAACGAGTAGGAGAAGGGAACGGGAGTACAAGCATTGATTCTGAAGTGATCAAAGAAAAAAGTGTATGTGAAATGGAAATTAATTGTGATTCTAAATCCATAAAAGTGAAACTTACTTGTACAACGTGTTTGCTTTGGGTGTGCTGCAGGTGGAGATGACATGTGCACCAATTGGATGACCTAAGCGAAATGCAAGATCACCTGACAGATTTACACCTCCAAGGAATATTGAGTTCGCAAAGAGGAGACGGAAGGAAAGAGCAAAAAGAAGTGAAGAGGACCAATTTTTACCGGCGAAAAAATATGGGCCTTTTGCTGAAAACCCATCTCAATATCCACCGGAAGAAGAAGTAAGAAAGGTGGAAAAGTTTCTTGAAACTGGACTATTGAAGTGGCCGACAAAGGAGGGAGGTGGCAGAAAATACCGCAAAGAAGAGGACAACATGCATGGCGTACCTTTTATTTTGGACGTGGCAAAAATAGAATCAAAAACATGGTTATACAAGCTATTTGTCAATCCGGAATGGCTGGATGATACGGTAATGTTTTTGTACTATAATTATAGAAATATAACAGTTTGTTAGGATGTAATACTTGAATGTGAAATATAACAGTTAGTTTGGCTGGATTGATGAATGGTTTGTTTTTGAAAAAATTTCAGCATATTTTTGTAGGAATGCACTACTTGAATGTGAAGCAAGTGCAGTACAAGGTGAAGTACCCCTAAAGCACAAGTGGCCCATTTTTTATGCAAATGTTGAAACGGCTGAATGACAAGATAGAAAAAGGGCAGGCAACGATTCAAGACGCAACAAACATTGCGGTCATCGAAGATGACATTATGGGTAGTGCTTCACCATTTTCTAGGGGCTGGGCAGATTGTGATTTCGTGTACCTACCTCTTAACAATAACAACCACTGGGTTTTACTGGTTTTGGACGTTAAAAAAAAGAAAATACGGGTTTACAATTCCAAAAGCAGAAGGGCGGATAGTGTAAGAGACATTAGACCCTATGTTTCGAGCTTACAACGCTTGCTCCCAAAAATAATGGATGTGCATGGAGTTTATGAAGAAATTGGGTTGGAGCGTATGGAAAACAAAGTGTTGGAATTGGAGGTTGTGGAGGACTGCCCACAACATGAAGACGGGTAACATCTTACCTGTACATTATTTTACTGACAACTATTAAAATTTGGACATTAATATGTACAACTATAATAATTAAGTACTAATAGTGTTGCATTAATGCAGGGGCAACTTTGGCATGTACGTATTGATGATGGCCGAGTTTTTTATTATGGGACTAGATATAAAAGATATCAAGTCAAAGGACATGCCCATGTTTAGGAAAAAAATGGCCACGGAGTTGGTGTTGTACAACAACAAGAGGATGCAGGAGGCCAAAAAAAAAGGGAAGGACTTTGAAGATTGAATAGTAAAGGATGGGAGAGGGATGGATGAGAACATTTGACATTGTAGTGTAGTAGTATTTTGTCTATTCAAAATTTGCATCGAATTTGACATTGTGAACATTTTTCTTGTCTATTTTAAGTAGTTTGACCTCAAATGCAGACGGAGTATTTTGGTTTACTGATGTAGTGTAGTTTGAATTCATAATGTTGTGGGGGATTGAATTTTTGGTGGCTTGTGTTTTGGTCAGCAAACTATTTGTTATGCAGCGCTAAAAATGCCATATATTTGGCATTTTCTGGGATATTTAATATTTTTGGACATGGCATAATATGGCAATGTGCTAGATTGTAGATTTGGGAATGATTTATTGTTATGTTGACATCAAATGCGAAGGAAACTGGTGGGTGATACATGTTAAACGAGCTTGTGACAGTGAGGTTGAAAAAGAATTAAGAACGTAAACATGTATGTACGCATAAAGTGTGGGAATTATGCATCTCATGGCGTAGTTTTATCAATTGTAGACATTGAATGGTAGTTAATAAGATGACAAAATGAGGTAGTCCGCTAGTACACGTCTGAAAATTATGTGAAAGATTTTTGTTTCGGACTTGATAAGAATGACTTGAACTAGATGAGAAACTAACATTAATAGTTTTTAATTAATAAAATGCCATTTTTGTGTAATTAACGTGTGAATTTGTAGTACTTAGATATGGCAAAAGAACCTGAAAACTGTTTAATAAGCCTGTGTTTTGAAATAAATAAGAATGTAGCGGATTGAATGAAAAAGTAAAATTCTAGCATTTTAGAAATAAATGCCAAATGTTTGGCATTTTGGGTTGTTTTAAGGTAATTGTGTATATGGCAAATACATTAAAATTGGAGCAAGTGCAATTATGATATGCAACAAAACAACTGCAAGACACATGGTATTACAGTGAAATTGAAAACAACACATAATAAAAAATAGTCAATTGAAATAGTGGCAAAAAATTGTGCATTAATGTAGTTAATGAACGTGGACATTTGTAAAGGATGAAAACATAATAATAGATTCTTAAATAAGTAAACTTAAAAAATACATCAATCATTTAATATGGGCAGTGGATTGCGGCAAGTTTTCTTGTTGTGTCCAAAAGCATGACAACGGGAGCATTTCTGACGCTTGGTTCTGTGATGTTCATCAATTGGTGGAATTCTTGACTTTTTTGGACGGCCAGGTGGTCTTTTTAGACATGAAGGCGGCTTGCAGCGAACATTCAAAACATCACGAGGAACCGACCAAGACTCTACATCACATATAGGGTGCATGACAGCACTCCAGGTGGACAACCAATAATCACGCGTATAATATGGGGATATATAATCATAGCATGACATGGCTGGGCGGGTAGCAATAGCAGCAACAGCATGGACACAAACGAAATGAGATAATTGAAACTCCCCGCAACTGCATGTCTTAGAATTAAGATCAACTACAAATGACCGACAATGCCTATCCACCACTTCAAACTCTTTATAAGATGCTGGCTTGACCTGTAGTGTTTTATAATATTAAAAATTAGTAAAAGTCAACAGATGGAAATTTACACCAATAAGATGTTAGAAATAATCTGGAAAACATGGAAGAATAATGAAACTTGTACATTGAATGCCATTTCTTTTGGAAAATTTACCAAATCCAAAAAACTGATGTGAAAGAAAATGCTTCTTTGAAGAAAATAAACTAATTAACTACAAAATGCACGAATAGTAAGTTACCTGCATCCTGCAAGCTTGTCCTTGAAGGGTCACCAAATGATTCTCACGTGTGGGTGCCAGAATTGTGCGTGTTTTTTCAGCGCTTTCCTTCCTTTCGGTGAACCATTGCTGCATTATTTCCCTCAAGAAATCAACCAGTTTTGATATAGAATACTCCTTTGCAAAGACATTAACATTGTTCATAGATTCAGCACAGTTGGAAGTCATGACATCATACCTCCTCGGACCTGACATGCACTTAGCCCACTTTTCTAAGCCAATCTTTTCAAACCAAGGTCGTATACGAACATCTTCAGAATCCAACAAGGACATATATTCCTCAAACTCCTTAGGTGTGGAAGCCATATATGCAGCCTTGAACTTCCAACCTAAATTCTTACCAGCACCCCTGAACTTTGGAACCATGTTTCGCCTAAGGTGCTCAACACAATATCCATGAAGAGCATGAGGGAAAATATCTTTAACAGCACTACGAATACCTTCATGTCTATCTGATACGATAAACATATCAGATCGGAAGGTTATAGATTCACGAACTTGGCTCAAAAACCAATTTCATGAAGCTTTAGATTCGGAATCACAAATTCCAAACGCTAAAGGTACAATATGACCGTTAGCGTCTTGGGTGCAAGATGTTAGTAGTGTCCCCTTATAGTACGCCTTCATAAATGACCCATCAACAATTAAAACTGGTTTGCAAAAATCCCATGCTTTCCGCCAAGGTGAAAGAGACATAAAAAAGTAACGAAACTCATCCTCGTCACCAATTATTAGAGAAATTGTAGAATTTGGATTTGTCTTTTCTAGAATATAAGCCATGGAAGGTAGTTTCTGATACGACTCTAGATCAGATCCAAATTGCCTTTGCATGGCTACCTTTTGAGCTTTCCATGATTTCTTATATGACATGGAAATGCCATGAGCCACACTCATTTCTTCCCGGATTTGTTTTGGTGCATACGGTTTCCATGAAGCATCCATAAATTTATGGGAGATTAGCTCAGCATGGTGCGATATGTTGCTTGTCTATGCTTTCCTTGCCTAAAGTCCATGGAGCATGTATGTGTTGAGTCAAACCTGCAAACCATATGTGCAGCATTGGCAGAAATGTCAAAAATGTGGCAGATTATAAGACATTCAGAATGGTAAAATACAGATAAAATCGGAACATACCTTCTAATCTGAAACATTTGCACACCACGTAACTTCACACCCCTGACAGCCCATTTGCATTTCTCATCACAACAAACAACATGCAAAACAATTTTCTTGGATGTACGTGTTTGATATTGAAATCCATTATCAATCGCATACAACCTCAAATGGTGATTGAGGTCATATTTAGAGTTGTATATGGCATGTTTCGTGATCTGAGTGAGATGATAATGGGTGATAACTTCCACATTATGATGGAAGGAAGATGACTCAATAGGAATTAAATGAGTAGGAGGTGACTGACAAGGACTCACATCAGACCATGGACTATGACATAGGTCATCATTGATTCTGTTGGGACTTTGTGATCGCGGTGAGACATTGGATTCATGACGAACAAGGGTGTAAGAGTTAGATTCAGAATTCAGCCCACTAATATTGTCATGTTCTGTAGAAGAAACTTGGGATGATGAAGGGGAAATCTCAGGTATGGTATTTTCCATTGTTGGCACTGTGCAAGGCTTAGAAATATCAGTTGAAAACTCCAAACATAAGGGGTACTTGCTCAAATCAGTATGAAGAACCTTAAGGTTAAGGAAAAACCGAAAAGTGTCTTCATCATTGATATGTACAGGTGGAGGGCAACCATCAACCATATAAGATAACTTGAAGTGATTTGTTGCATTGTAGTAATCACTTAACATGGAAGAAAGTTGTTCTATAAAGTCTTTGTATGTAGATGAATAAAGAACTTGAATAGCGAAGATCAGGTTACTGTTGAAGCTATAGTCATTGGTCCAACTTCCACCCAACTTCAACATAACCGGTACAATACAATCCATATGGGTAACTAGAGAAAGGAATATAAATTGGTCAAATAAAATGAACAAGAGTATGACAACTCTGAATAAATATTATGCCAAGATTTTGTCATTTATTCCATCCGAATACACCAAACAGAGCATCATAGCCACAATTAAGTTCTATGATGTTAATGAGTAAAACCATGAACAATAAGATCATAGCTGCATACCTAGGACCATACTATACAGATTTCAACACAAACATGGTACATGGATTGTCGGTTTCGAATTATATAACAATGATGATTAACAATAAACACATTAAAAACAAGAATAATGTCGTGAACTAGTTCTAAAACATGAAGAAACTGATAATCACAGAAGTTGATTATTACCAGAACAATTGCAGAATGTGTTTGACCTCACGAAATGTTCTTCATCGTCAATTATGACAAACAGGGAAAAAGATGAGATATGGAATGATCATTGAAATGCACGTACGTATGAAGATAATAATCAGCAGCGTAAAACCAGGGGAGGGTAAAGTGATTGAACGTATGTTAGCGCTAAAGGGGGAAACGGTTATGCGCTAAAGGGCTAAACTGATGACCGAACATATGTTAGCGCTAAAGGGGGAAACGGTTATGCGTACATAAGCAGGGGCAAATCTGTATCAGTGTCAACCGTATGATTCAATATAGGATTAATATGATCCTATTAAGGGAAAGAAACCTAGGAGATCCTATTTAGGAATTTTAAGAAGTATTTAGTCTTATATGAGGCAATTTCTTAAAATTCAAACAGTAAACTGACCTGCGTAGGAGCTACAGTGTCCAAGAATTTGGGGGAAAATTGAAATCTTACCCAAATTTGATGAAACCAGTGTTAATAGCTTCGCTTTGATCAGATGATTCCAATACAAGCTTCAGAAACCAGATTGAACGACAGGATTTGAAGAAATATGAAGTCAACGATCTTTCGCAAACAGTACACCTTCATAACGGTTACTTCGTAACTCCGGTACGGCGGCGTCTTGGCAGTCGGAGATCAGGTACCGGAGGTTTGCCAGAGGCCGGCGACCCCCAGGCTAGCTTTACTTTACACAAACAACCGTCAGATATAAGATCCGAGCAATATTTCTTAATCGGGAATGAACAGTAAAGTTACGAACTGGGATTTCCAAAATCAACGATTCTCACTCCAAAAATCAGTGTCTATCAAAACCAATAGATGGAGATGTAAGAATAGTAATTTCCGAGCTAGAGGATAACAGATTCACAAGGTTTAATTCTTGGGAGTGTTCGTGAAAGAGCAGCGGAAGTTACAAGCTTGCTAAAAAAGTTGGCAGGACGTAACTTTTTTAGAGAGAAGGACGAGCGTTTCTCTACGCGTTACTACTCTTTCGAGATTCTTGATTGTGCACTTCTTTGGAACGATACCTTGGAGCGAAGGATGATGGAGAAGTGGGTGAAGAATGGGTTAAGATGTTTTTACTTGGACTTGTAATTCGTCCCAGACCAGACCAGACCAGTTCAGACCAGACCAGACCAGACCAGACTTGGATAGTTATAAAAGTACAAAGAAACCAGACCAGACCTGTTAAGACCAGACCAGACTAGCAAATTACAGTCCAAGTAAAAACATCCTTAGCCGCTTAGGTCAGGTGAAGGACTTGTATGCAATTTTAGAAATATTTTATGAGATGTCTACTTTGGAAAAATTAAAAGTAATTGTCCTATATAGGACTAAAACATAGAAAAAGTTCCTAAATAAGAGTTCCAATGTTTTATTCTCTAGATAGGAGTTTATGTTACCTAAATACCCCTGATTTAATTAAACCGAGATCCGTTCTCTCGCTCCGAGCGCACATCTCCTTTTCCCTTCTAGATCTGCGCATCTCCCTTCCCCTCTGCGCATATCGCCGGATCTCTGTTCTTCTTCGTACGGCATGGCATTCTCTAGGTTGTCCTAGGTAATTTCATTCTCCTTCTTCTCCTTTTTCTCCTTCTTCTCCTTCTCATCTTCTTCCCCTGATTTCATTCTTAGTCTGCCGAGCGGCTCTCCTCCTACAGTTTGGAATTGGCAAATGCTTGATAAGAGTGAAGCGAGAAAGTGGAATCCATCCCACTTGTGCTATTTTGATTTTATTTTTTTGCATTTTTGTATTTTGCAATTTCTTCAATTTTGTTTCTGAATTTCTTTCTTATTGATTTGATAGATTCTGTAAAATCCGAAGCTTATTATTGATGTCTAGTTTGATATTTTATATTGAATACTCGTTAAATTTTTTTAATTTGGATTTGTTTATTTCTATTGAGTTTTGAGTTTTAAAGAGGATTATTAATATTTTATTTATCTGTAAATACAGTGAACGAAAAATATCCTTTTTTGGCATTACTTTTACTAAGATGGACATATTGCTTTTACAATGACATGTGTGAGAATGTGGAAGTGTTTTTTTGTCAAATAGTGTCATTTTCATGACATTAATTTTGTCCATTATAAAATGGAAATAAAAGATTCAAAAAATGGCAATATTACTCTTATCATACCATTAAAAAGGGTTTTTGCCAAATAGTGCCATTTTGCAATGTATAATTTTGTCCATTAAATATGGCAATAAAACATTAAAATTGCACTATTAATGTAAAGATGCCATTTTTTTAAAATGTAAAGATGTCATTATTATTGATTTTTTATATTTTATCAAGCTGCCATTAAGCCAACAGACCCATTAGGCAAGAGGTTGTGGCCCCATAGTCGGAGTAAATTAACAGAGGGATTTGTCATCGGAGGGGGGTGGACGGCTGCTGTTGAGACTGCTGTTGAGACGTCGCAGGGCGGTTGAGGCGACTGAGATGCCGAAGGGTGGCGTCGGCGGTTGAGACGCTGGAGGGCGGCAGCTGAGATGCCGAAGGGTGGGGCGGGGGTTGAGATGCCGGAGCGTGGCGACAGCGGCTGAGATGTCGGAGGGTGGCGGCGGCGGTTGAGAGGTCGGAGGGCATCGGCAGCGGCTGAGACATTGAAGGGCGACAGAGGCGCTGAAGGGGGCTGCTTGGTGGCTGTGGAGTGTTGACTGTGGTCGTACCTGCTAGGGTTTTTGAAACAATTTTTATTCCATTTTTTCTTTAAGGCTATTTTGGTCAAGCCACACACTTTTTACTCCTATGAAACTTTAAACTCCCATTTTCGAACTTTCTCAATGTTTCGCTCCTATTCACAGAATTATCTCAAAAATTAACCATTAGGATGGTGCCGTTTGTATGATGCACCAAAACCTTTCACAAAAATTAACCTTTCATAATTATAATCAATATACCAAATAACAAAGAGAATCTTAAATATTATAATGAATGTTTGTTTAAAAGATGACACATGGCACAACTTTCCATGATCGTATATATCTTTGAAATGTGTTATTTATAGAATTATAGATAGAGAATCGGCCGGAGGGACTGGGATGAGCGAGAGGCTCTGGGTCATTTCTTCCCTACGGCGTCCAAACATATGCGATGGGCGACGAGAACATCCAGGGAGACATCGGAGTGGTTTCTGGGAGCGCGATTTTGGAGGACAAACAGGGCGAATTTGCATCAAACGCGATGGAGTTCAGCGAGGGGCGAGGGGCGACAGGCTCCGTTCTAGCAGACGAGCGACGGGCTTTGACTGGCAGTCTCTGGCGATGGACGAACGATGGCGACGGGATCCAGCCCAGCAGGTGAGGGATGAAGGTGGGAGGTGGGATTGGAGAAGAAATCGGCATCGACGAGCGTTGGAAACAGTGGCGGAACTAGGGGGAGCGAGCCGGTGCTGCCGCCCTCCGTTCGCCGGAGGTTTTAGTGTATATATATGTATATATACATGCTCAGCCCCGTCTCAATAATAATATGTACAAACGGACTCGTATCTAACTCAATAGTTGGAGTAGCACAGATGGCTGAGGAGTTTTAAAGCTGCAGGGAGACCCGGGTTCGATCCTTGTTCAGTCTCTTTTTTAATTACTTACTCCATTACACTTCTTCCTCTACTTATCTCTTAACCTTTTGGAATGTTATTAGTTTTAATATTTTTCCTACCACATTTCTTTTACTTTTATGTTGCATTTTTATTTTTCAAATTCAAAATATTTACTCCGTATTTTGTACTTTTTCGAATATTAACATGTTATTTACATTTTTGTTTAGTACAAGAACAACAAAAAATGACTTTTAGCTATTGCTTCCCTCTTCAAACATTGACCTATATCATTTTTAAAAAAGTTTATCAATAAACTTTTCAAAACTACTTGAATTTTATATTTATTCCTTGGGTTGGTACAAATATGCCAAAATTTCTTGTTGATATTTGAAATATCTGACTTTATATGAGTATAATTAGATTCATGTAATACTTTTGCAAAAAATAAAATATCCTTTTAAAAAATAAATAACCTACTTGTAACGCTATTTGAAAAGAGAAAAAAATTATTATTTTTTTGATAAGTTAGTAACTTATATATATACTCCGTATGTTATTAATTTATCTTCCTCTACATGTTTAGCTATATTTCTATTTAAACCTTTTTATTCTAAAATAAAAGGGAAAGCGTATTAAATCGAAATAAACTCATTTAATAAATGTAGTCTATTATTTTGTTTAGGCACTAACAAATCAGTTATACAAATGAATAAATGTCGACATTTAAGTTGATGTGTATATGTATGTGTGCGCTTGTGTGTGAATTATATATAGTTACAAATAAAGTGTCACTTCATGCAAATAGAAATAATATTATATAGTAATTTGAGATCAAATTAAATTACCATAAATATACCCTAAAACGATACAGATTATGAATCTTCCCAACTAGTGGTTCAAAATTTTTTTAGCCCCTGCTCAAATTTTGTTCTGGTTCCGCCACTGGTTGGAAATGAGGTATCACACCACAGGGGACTCCTTTTCGCAGACCTGCTTGGGGGTGTGGGCTTTCACAAAACCAAAGTCACAAGGGACCCTTTCAGATCCGAGTCAGACATGAAAGAAGGCTATCTGCGTTTTCCAGAAGAGTTGTGCCAGACCCCCAACTCACCTGTTATGGTTGTTAGTGAAACGCTTACCATGATTACTCGAGCTAGGCTACTATATGTAAATCAGTAAACGGCATGCAAAATACTTTAAATTGCCCTTTAATTTTGTATATATAACATGTTTATTCTTGTACGTATTAGCCTTTTTTTCGTGCAGCGGCATGTGCCACACTTGCCGATTGCGGTCTGAAGAATTCAATGGCAACAACCATGAAGCTTCCTCCATGTGCAAGCAACAACCATGAAGCTTCATCCATGTGCAAGAATGACAAAGGGAGCTTCCTCAAAGTTTCCTCATGTTTAATCCCACCTTCCTCCCACCTTCATAGTACCTAGTTTTGGTGCTATAAATAGAGAGCTTGGAGAGTCTTTCTATCATCAAGTAAATTAGAATAGATCATCATAGCACAACCAAGAAGAGTTGTGAATATCCTTGAGAGATATGTGAGGTGTTGTTTTGAGAGTTTTTAATTAGAGCTTGTATGTCTCTTCTTTCTATTCTTGAAAGTAATAGAAGTGTTTTTCTCTCATATTAGCACGATCCTGTTATTCCCAACAAGTGGTATCAGAGCCTGGCTGAGCTTTTGGTATTTTTTTCCCCAGAATTTTCGGATAAAATTCTACTGTCTGAAAATTCGTGTTTTTTGGTTTTGCTCGGAAATACAATCTGAATACACGGTTAGATTCGTCTCGTCGAGACGAGAAAACTGGTATTTTTTGGTAATTTTTAGGCCACCGGAAGCCACCACACGCGCCGCCTACGCGCCGGTGGTGAGGAGCTCGGTGACGTCATCCCTGACGTCATTCTGCACGCAGGCCAGAGGTTGAAGACAGCTGACGTCATCGCTGACGTCATCAGCCAGTCAGAGCTGTGTCAGCGACACATCAGCGCCACGAGTGCACATCCGCCACATCATCAGCTCACTGCCATCTTCCACCAGCGCCCAGTCAGCTGCCACGTCAACGCCCAATTAGAGCCACGTCATCTTCCACGTCATCTGCCACGTCACCGGTCACTTTTTAAATTTTGAAAAATTGCAGTTAGGTCCCTCAATTTTTGGAAAATTATAATTTCCACCTATAATTTTTCGAAAATTGTATTTTGACCCCGAAAGTGTCTACCCACCATTTTTGGCCGCTCCGGACGCAACGGTGCTGCCCGTTTTTCAAAATTCTGCTCCGATTTTTCTCAAACAGAATATTAAAATTATTTAGAAGGTGAAAATGACCTTTGACGAGTCAACTTCATCTTCCGGAGCTATGATTATGCTCACGGCTACCAACTACACGCTATGGAAACCTCGGATGGAAGATTTCCTTAGCTGTAAAGACCTTTTTGATCCAATAGAGATGAAAGGTATTAATCCTGACCCACCCAAATCAATAGAGTGGAAGAAAATAAATAGAAAAACTATTGGTCAAATCCGTCAATGGATTGATCATAGTGTCTTCCACCACGTTGCACAAGAAACCGACGCTTATGCCCTTTGGAAGAAGCTAGAAGATATGTACCAGGCCAAGACCGCCAGGAATAAGGCCCTACTGATGAGGCGTCTTGTCAATATGAAGCTCAAAAGTGGAACTTCTGTTGCCGAACATACTGGTCAGTTTCAGAGTCTGGTAAATCAACTATCTTGTGTAGAAATGCCACTTGGAGATGAAATGCAATCTCTACTACTTCTTCGTTCCCTTCCTGATAGTTGGGAGACACTAGTTGTTACTCTCAACAACTCAGCCCCAGATGGAAAACTTACCATGTCTGTGGTCAAGGATGCATTGTTCAATGAGGAGGCAAGGAGGAAAGACATGAGCACATATCAGACTCATGCTCTTGTGATGGAGAATCGAGGAAGATCACAAGGAAAGCAACAAAGAAACAGTAGAGGAAAGTGGCAAAGCAGAGGCAAAAGTCGAGGGAGATCATCAGATGGCCGGAAACCTTCTTATACCTGCCACCATTGCGGTATAGAGGGTCACATGAAGAAGAATTGCTACAAATTGCTAGAGGAGCGAGGCAAGAGCAATTCTCAAGCGAAGAACAAGGGTGGTGAAGCGCTCATCACAATCTCAGGTGATGTGGCGTATTGTACTAGCAATGATGAAACATGCCTGCACGTCTCAAGAGAGGACACTGAATGGGTGGTAGATACTGCAGCATCCTACCATGTTACTCCCCACAGGTACTACTTCACAACTTACAAAGCTGGAGACTTTGGAGCAGTAAAGATGGGCAATTCCAGTTCCTCTGGAATAGCTGGAATTGGTGATATACAAATAAAGACGAGTACTGGGAGCACAATCACTTTGAAGGATGTCAGACATGTTCCAGACCTTCGGCTCAATCTCCTATCTGTGGTATGTCTTGACGAACAGGGGTATGACAACCACTTTAACAGGGGCACCTGGAAAATGTCAAAGGGTGTTTTGACAATCGCTCGAGGACATGTTTGTGGCACATTGTACAAAACCCATTTGAGGATTTGTATGGATAGCCTCAACATTGCAGAGGAGACTTCTCAGAATCTGTGGCACCTAAGGCTCAGCCACATCGGTGAGAAAGGGTTGACTACCTTGATGAAGAAGAACCTTATCAACATTGACAAGAATTCTGCACCGGGTCCTTGCAGTCATTGTCTATTTGGTAAGCAACATAGAGTATCATTTAGTTCTACTTCAACTAAAAGAACGGAGTTGTTAAGTTTGGTACACTCCGATGTCTGTGGTCCTTTCGAGGTAGAATCAATCGGTGGAAGCAGATATTTTCTGACTTTTATCGATGATGCTTCTCGGAAAGTGTGGGTGTATTTCCTGACGACGAAGGATCGGGTCTTTGAGAGCTTCAAGACATTTCACGTCTTGGTGGAACGTGAAACAGGAAAGAAGTTGAAATGTCTCCGATCTGATAATGGAGGCGAATATACATCCAAGGCGTTCGATGCATATTGCAGAGAATATGGCATTCGACATGAGAAGTCAGTACCACGCACCCCTCAGCACAACGGTGTTGCTGAAAGAATGAACCGGACTATCATGGAGCGTGTCCGGAGCATGCTAAATGTGGCTAAACTTCCAAAGTCATTTTGGGGAGAAGCAGTCAACACCGCATGCTATCTTATCAACTGATCACCTTCAGTACCACTGAACTTTGAAGTTCCAGAGAGGCTATGGACAGGTAAGGATCCTACATACTCACATCTTAGAGTTTTTGGTTGTTCATCATATGCACATGTATCCAAAGAGCTCAGACAGAAGCTCGATGCAAGAACTATCCCATGCATTTTCGTTGGCTATGGAAATGAAGAGTTTGGATACAGGTTATGGGATCCTAAGGAGAAAAGGGTGTTTAGAAGCAGGGACGTTGTGTTCCATGAAGATTTGACAATAGAAGACATTGAAAAAACCACAATGTCTCGGAAGTCAAATGAGGGTGTTCAAGTTTCAAATGAAGCACCTGAATTGTTCTTGAGAAACAATGACGAAGTGCATGAAAACAACTCAGAAGCAGAAGAGGATGAGGAGACAGAAGAGAGTACAGAGCAAGGGGAGTCACAACCCACCTCGCCAGGCACAGATGATGGTAGCTCTTCTGAGATGGTTCCAACTGTTCGTAGATCTGAACGAGGCCATATACCATCGAAAAGGTACACATCATCTGAATATCTTTTGTTAACTGAAGATGGAGAACCGGAGAGTTTTCAAGAAGCTGTGTCTCATAAGGATAAAGAAAAATGGCTAATAGCAATGCAGGATGAGTTGGAATCTCTGCAGAAAAATCAAACTTATGAGATTGTAGAACTTCCTAAAGGGAAGAAGGCACTGAGGAACAAGTGGGTGTTCAAGCTGAAGAAGGATGCAAGCGGACAAGTGGTGAAACACAAAGCTCGGTTGGTTGTCAAAGGATTCCAACAGAAGAAGGGAATTGACTTTGATGAGATCTTTGCACCAGTTGTCAAGATGACCTCAATCCGAGTTATACTTGGCTTGACAGCAAGTATGAACTTGGAGCTTGAACAGATGGATGTGAAGACATCATTTCTTCACGGAGATTTGAAAGAAGAAATCTATATGCAGCAGCCGGAAGGTTTTGAGAGCTCAAATGATAACTTTGTGTGTAAGTTATCTAAAAGTTTGTATGGCTTGAAGCAGGCACCAAGGCAGTGGAATAAGAAGTTTGACTCATGCATGAAGAGTCAAGGCTACAAGAAGACTACTGCAGATGAGTGTGTATACATCAAGAAACTCCCAGACGGTACTTTCATTGCTCTTCTACTATATGTAGATGACATGTTGATCGTTGGGAAAGATGCGGTGATGATAAACCAGCTGAAGAAAGAACTCTCTAAGTCTTTTGATATGAAAGACTTAGGACCGGCTCAACAGATTCTTGGGATGCAGATCACTCGAGACAGGAAGAATCGCAAGTTATGGCTTTCTCAAGAGAAGTACATTGAACGAGTACTTGAGAGATTCAACATGAATGATGCCAAACCAGTTAGTGTTCCACTTGCGAATCACTTCAAGTTGAGCAAAAGAACATGCCCTACATCCAAGGAAGAGATCGGGGAGATGTTAGCAGTTCCATATTCTTCGGCAGTTGGGAGTTTGATGTACGCCATGGTATGCACAAGGCCAGACATCGCACAAGCAGTGGGTACAGTAAGTCGTTTTCTCTCTAACCCTGGGAAGGAGCATTGGGAGGCAGTCAAATGGATTCTCAGATACTTGAAAGGTACCACGAAGTTATGTCTTTGTTACGGAGGAGCTGATCCAAACTTGGAAGGCTACACAGATGCTGATATGGCCGGAGATATTGATAGTAGAAAGTCTACTACAAGATATATCTACACTTTTGCAGGGGGAGCTGTTTCTTGGCAATCAAGATTGCAGAAGTGTGTCGCTTTATCTACAACAGAAGCAGAATATATTGCTGCCGTTGAAGCAGGTAAGGAAATGTTGTGGCTAAAGCGTTTTCTCCAAGAACTTGGGATCCACCAGAAAGAGTACCAGGTACATTGTGACAGTCAGAGTGCTCTAGACTTGAGCAAGAACTCTATGTACCATTCTCGTACAAAGCATATTGATATTCGGTATCATTGGATACGGGAGACGATTGATCAACAACTGTTGAGACTAGTGAAGATCAATACAAAGGAGAATCCATCAGACATGCTGACAAAGGTGGTGACACGAGATAAGCTAGAGCTATGCAGAGACATAGTCGAGATGCTTGTTTTGAATATGCCTGGAAGGGGAGAATTGAAGAATTCAATTTCCAGGACATATCCAAGTACAAGCAAATTGAAGAATCCAATTGCAACAACCATGAAGCTTCCTCCATGTGAAAGCAACAACCATGAAGCTTCATCCATGTGCAAGAATGACAAAGGGAGCTTCCTCAAAGTTTCCTCATGTTTAATCCCACCTTCCTCCCACCTTCATAGTACCTAGTTTTGGTGCTATAAATAGAGAGCTTGGAGAGTCTTTCTATCATCAAGTAAATTAGAATAGATCATCATAGCACAACCAAGAAGAGTTGTGAATATCCTTGAGAGATATGTGAGGTGTTGTTTTGAGAGTTTTTAATTAGAGCTTGTATGTCTCTTCTTTCTATTCTTGAAAGTAATAGAAGTGTTTTTCTCTCATATTAGCACGATCCTGTTATTCCCAACACGGTCACCAAATAGAAGCTTGCTAGCGTTTCGGACGTGCAATGTTGGCTCTCTTGTGGAAAGATGTTCTAAGGTAGAGGTTATGAGGAAAAAATATCAGCATTATGTGTGTGCAAGAAACTAAGTAGATTGAAGAAAAGACTGGCGATGAGTAATCTCAGGGTTTTATGTTGTGGTATTCGTGAAGATTGAAGACCAGAAATGAAGTAAGCATTACTATATAACGTGACAATATTGACAGTGTGGTGGAAGTCTTTAGGAAGAACAACCGCATTATATGGTAAGTGCTCAAAAGAGAGATGATCACAGCAGGAGACCTCAACGGACATGTGGAATCAAGTCATGATCGTTTTGAGAGTATCCATAGGAGACATTATTTTTGGTCTACAAATCAAGCGGAAAATAACATTCTGTATTTTGTCTTGACATATCAGTTGGCTACTTCTTAGTACATACTACCTCCGCCCAAAAATAAACTTCCCATTTCGGATTACGATGCTTGACCAACGATAAAGCAACTCGATCCCTGTTCATACTCAGATTACTTTTAGTAAATAAAATTTACATATTGAGAAACTACATTAAAACCGCTACAAAGGCTGATAAAAAAATATAAATTTGATAAAAATTCGATATATAAAACTGATGGAGTATATGGGTCTAGGCCCCAGGACCCACATACTCAGAAGAACAAACCACTGCACAGTGCCCTCGTCGGCCAAAGCACCCATGACGGCCGAAGAGGGACCAACTCAGAATATGGTCCTGAAGCCAGGGAACCAGGGTGTCCTCGTCGGCCGTGCCCTCATCGGCCGTGCCCTCGTCGGCCAGACCCTCGTCGGCCACGGAGGACTCGCAGGACTAGGTTTTACACTTATTCATTTATATAGCCCATCAGTTGCTTTGTATTCGGCCCAATAGCGGTCCAGTTGTAAATGGGCCTCCCAAGCCCAAGGCTTGGGAGCCCAGTCCGTATTTTTCCTATAAATACTTCCTCTGGAGGTAGTTATAGGGGTTACAAAATCATTCTATTGAAGCATTTACTTGCACTTCTCTCTCTAGCTCTCACTTCTCTCTAGACATATACTCTATCATTTGGTGCTTTCATTGAGAGCTAGAACAATCAAGTTAGCACCATTCGTCGCTACCAAGCACAGCTAACCACTGATCATGGGAACAACCAAGTCAAACCGCAACCTCGTCAGCAAGGCCATCCCTGAGGACCAGGAGACCAGGGAGCCTGAGGAGGACACTACGGCCGACCAGGTCGGCGGAGGGGACGTCTTCCAGGAGGCCATCAACCTCACGACGGACCTCCGCAACCAACTCAACGGCGGAGCCCCTGATGCCCGCATCGGCCTGGACAAGAAACGAGCTGAGAAGACAGACCACGCCCCGGCCCAGCCTATGGCCACGGCTTCTCCGTCTGTGGATCCACAGGTCCAGGCCGCGTTGTCGGTCATCATCGCCAGCTTGGCCCAGAACCCCACCGTCCTCAGCGCACTCTTGCCAAGGACTGGGGGGAACGTCACTCCACCTCCTCAGCCCCAACCGTTGGCCGTCAGGTTAGGCAACGATGAGGGGGTGATGGCCCAAGACACGACGTCGCCCCACTCCCACCCCGCTTCCCCTCTTCGGCCTGGGCAGACCCCAGCGCGTGGAAAAGCCTCTGCCTTCAATAGGCTAGGTGACACGCGCCGTCGTCCGGTTTCGGAGAGGATGGCAGGGCGGATTGGTGAGCGTTGACCTGGCTCGCCAAGGGAAAGCTTGGGGTCTGTGTCCCGGACAGCGGACCAGCCCCGCCTGGACAAGGGCGAGGGAAAGTTGCACGAGGACGACGTGCGCCACCAGATCAATGCGGCCCACGACGAGCGCATGAAAAACCACCAGGGCGCCGAAGCGGCCGCCAGGGATCCCCGGGACGAGGTCATCGCCCAGCTGGAAAGGAGGCTGGCCCAGATGGAATCCAGGCAATCCGCAAACGTCCCTACGGCCGGCGCCTCCAATGATCCTGGACTCAACGCTCTCATGAACAAGGTCAACGCCCTTGAGAGGGAGTTGGCCGAAGGGCGAGGTGACCCCGTCATTCAGGTCAGGACCAGGACCCCCTTCACTAACAGGGTACTCTCGGCCCCCATCTTTGAGAAATACAGGGGAAACGCCATCAAGTCTTACGACGGCCGATCAGACCCCCAAGAGCACTTCAGCCGCTACCAGAACAACATGCTGATGGTGAACGCGTCGGATGAATATATCTATCGTTGGTTCCTCTCCACTCTTGAGGGACCGACGTACGAGTGGTTCAACGCGCTTCCCGAGGGAAGTATTGACTCATGGCAGGACCTTGCCCAGCGCTTCCTCACCCACTTTGTCGGGAGGAAGCGTGCGAAGAAGTACTTCACCCATATCCTCTCCGTCAAGCAGCAACATGACGAGCCCCTCCGGTCATTCATTGATCGGTGGATAAGGGAGACCGAAGAGGTCGAGGGGGCCGATGAGCGCACCCTCCTCGTTCTATACCAGGGAGCCCTCCGCAGCTCCCTGTATGCGAGGAGCCTCATCATCGACCCTCCAAGGTCGTATGCAAAGGCGCTTCAGCGTGGGAGCTTATACGCCGACGCCGACGAGCTCCACAACCAAAAAAAAGAGGGAGGCATCCCTCCAAGAAGACAAATCCTTCGTCGGCCCCGGGATCATCCCCGGCCGGCCAGGGTGCCCAGGGCCGTCACGGCTCTGGTGGACAAAGCAAGAAAGACCGCCACTGGCGGCCGAGGTTGGAACGGCCGGGGGTCCCCCTCACCCACCCGTTCAGCACCATCCTCGACTACGCCGAGAAGCATGGCCTCATTGAGCAGGCTCCTCGGCCGGCCGAGGAGGTTCTTTCCATCCAGCAAGGCGGCACATACTGCCGGTTTCACAAGAACTCCTCGCACAACACCGACGACTGCGTCACGCTGAAGAAAGCCATCGAGCGCCTTATTCGTCAGGGGGAACTCTCCCAATTTGTTAAAGGTGGCCCGCGCAAAAATACATGGGTAAACACCGGCAAACCTGGGGGCGAACCCTCTATGAAGAAGCGGAAGATCGGCAGGCTCAGCGACGACGAGGACTTTGAGGAGCCTCTGCCAAAGAAGAACCATATTCACCTCATCGTAGGTGAGAATACCGGGGGGACTCCGCCACCAAGAGGAAGAAATGGGCCCAATCCCTTTACATTGGGGAGGTGTCCCACGTTCCCCCCCCCCCCCCCCCCTCCCAGTCGAAGAAGCAGCGAACGGAGGCGATCACCTTCACCGACAAGATCTGCCTCCGGGTACGGAATCACATAGGGACGCCCTCGTCATCCGGTGTGAGATCGGTGACTCCATCATCCACCGCACTTACATCGATACGGGGAGCTCCGTCAACGTGATGTACCTGGACACCTTCAGACAGCTGAAGCTGGACAAAGCTCTGCTGAAGCCGATCAAGACACCGTTGTCCGACTTCACCGGGGACTCTATCGACGCCGAGGGCACGATAGTCCTCCCCGTGGAGGTCGGCGACAGCCCCCACCGTGCCAAAATTGACATGGAGTTTATGGTGGTCAACCTCCAGTGCGCCCATACCCTGATCTTGGGGCGGCCAGCACTGGAGGACTTGGAGGTTATCATCTTCATGAAACACTTGTGTCTGAAATTCCCCACCAATGGCGGCATCGCCTACGCCAGAGGAAACCAGAGGATAGCCAGAGCATGCTACCTCAAGCTAACGAGGCCGGCCGAGAGGGAAGGACAGAGGATAGACACCATCACAGCAGCCGCTGCCAAGGACGAGGAGAGACCGCATGCCGAACCGGCCGAGGAGGTCGAGGAAGTCCCTCTGGATACCTCCCGGCTGGAGCGGGTCCTCAAGATCGGGAAGCAACTCCCACAGAACCAGCGGGACGCCATCCTCCTCGTCCTATGGTCATACGCCGTCATCTTCGCGTGGGGCCCGGACGACATGCCAGGCATCAGCCGACAGGTGATCACCCACCGGCTGACCGCCGATCCAGCCTCCGCGCCTATCAAGCAGAAGCGGCACTACTTATCCACCGACAGGCGGGACTTCGTCAAAGGGGAGGTCGCCATGCTCCTCTCAATCAACCACATCAAGGAGGTGAAGTACCCGACGTGGCTAGCCAACGTCGTCCTCGCCCAAAAACCGCCGACATTCAGAATGTGTGTTGACTACACTGACCTTAACAAGGCGTGCCCCATGGACCCGTTCCCTCTCCCCAACATTGATCAAATGGTGGACGAGACGGTGGGATGCGAGTTGATGTCGTTCCTTGACGCTTTCAGAGGGTACCACCAAATTTTCATGCATGAAGATGACGCTGAGAAGACGGCATTCATGACCCCGGAGGGAATGTTTTGCTACCTTGTCATGGCTTTCGGGCTCAAAAACTCCGGCGCCACCTATACCAGGATGGTGGCCAAGATCTTTAGAGCAGTCCTCGGCCGGATGATGGAGGCATACGTCGACGACATGATTGTCAAGAGCAGGCAAGCCACCACACATGCTGACGACCTCCGGGAAATTTTTGAAATCATGAAGGAGTTCAAACTCTGCCTCAACCCAAAGAAGTGTGCTTTTGGCGTCCAAGGCGGCAAGTTCCTCGGCTACATAGTCAGTCGGAGAGGCATCAAAATAAATCCGGAGAAGATACAGGCTATCATCAACATGGAGCCGCCCCGCAACGTCAAAGAGGTGCAATGGCTGACAGGGCGACTAGCGGCCCTGAGCCGTTTCCTCTCCAAGTCAGCCGAGAGGTCACTCCCTTTCTTCCAGATTATGCGCAAAGCAAAAAGCTTCAAATGGACGACGGAGTGCCAGGAAGCGTTCGAAGATCTGAAGAGGTACCTTTCGTCCCCACTCGTGATCTCCAAGCCCAAAGCCGGCGAAACCCTCTTCTTGTACTTAGGGGTGAGCACGTCGGCCATCAGCTCCA